CCTGGGGTCCTACCAGTCTGAGACCACCTAACACCAAGGAACACTGTGAGGTTTCCTGAGCCACATACGTTCCTGAAGGCTCTCGTTTCCTGTGGGGGTTGCTGGGCCCTGCTGGGGTCCCAGCTCACTGAGCATGTTAGCCCCGCCCTCCTGTCTTCTGTGGACCGGGCTCCGATTGATGCCCCATCTTCTGGTGAAGCTGTCAGAATAAAAGTTGGTTTCTTGGAATCAGCAAATAACGCCAAGGCCAACGTACGTTGCGTGTGTGTGTGTCTTCTCTCCTGTTTCCTATTCGATCTTCCGGTCTGGCCAGATGCTTTCTCACAGTCTTGCCAATAGGAAGTTGAAAATGAACACAGCTCCCCTCAATGTGGCGCCTTTAGCTGTTGTCTGCAGGTGGGTGAGTTGATCCGAACGGATCGTAACCATGCCGCTCAACCCGGGCCTGCCCACCATGACCGCGGACAGGAAGCAAAGGCGAGAGCCTGAAATGTGTTCGTTATGTTCCCACCTGGAACACACCCGTGTGAAATCAAGCTAGGAGGCGAACGCACTAGGGACTTAACACTGGTTTGTAAAAAAAACCTGCCAAAGGCATGTGCTACTTGCACACAACACGGTAGGTGAGAGGGGTCCAGGCCAGGAAAGCGTAAGAACCCTCCTTTTTCGTCCTCTGGGTGAGGGGCGTAGTGGGCACTGTGGGTCCTGGTGTGAAGCTCAACTGGCCCGCCAGGCTCCTGAACTTGCGGCCCTCCTCTGGTTCCGGGTCAGCCTAGACCTCTCGTCCCCAACACCCTGTGCCCCGTCAGCTAGTCAGACCTGGTAGGTGACTGGGCAGGTGTCTGGCGGCCTCCTCACCTTGCTGGCTGGACACCCCACCCCCATCCCCCTTCTCCCCATGCCTGGTCCCTCTTCCTTCCTTCAAAGCTAAGGACAAGCTCCTCCTCAGTTGTGCATGCTGTTGTCAGGTGCCAGTGAGTGCCTTCCGACTCGGGACCCGGGGTGCACCCGAAGGAAACACTGCCCGGGGCTGCACGGTCCTCGCAGTGGGCGTTATGGGCGAGTTCATCGGCCCAGCCGCTCTGCCGAGCCATTTTGTCGAGGGTCCTCCTCCTTTACGCTGCCCCTCTGCTTGACCGGGCATGCTGCCCTTCTCCAGGGACTGCTCTCCCGGCAGCATCTCCGAGGTACGTGAGCCGAAGTCTCGCCACGCTCACCTCTCAGGGCACACCCTGGCCGCGCTTCTTCCAAGAGAGGTTTGCTTGTTCTTCTGGCCGTCTGAGTAGTTAATTGTGCCAACCTGGCCGATAAACACATGTGGGGTTAATTGAAGGGCAGAGGGATAAATGGCTCGGTGAGCCTCGCCTTTCGAATTCTCGGGTCTCTTGCTTTGTGATGGTCGCACCAGGGTGCAGCTCCCTTAGCCAGTTCCCTGCTTCAGCTTGCAAGACTGGCTTCCTGCAAGATATCCCCAAGGAGAAGCCATATGGACCTACCCCGATGCAGCCCTGGGTGCTGGAGCAGCCGTGTGGAAACCCCCACCAGCGCTGAGATGCTTACATATTCACTGACTCGGCTTTCCTCCTGCAGTCGGCATCATAGTGTGTGTTTTGTGAGATGGAGGAGGACTCTGTGGATTGGTGTCGGACATATGGGTTAATGTTGGACTTGTGGGCTTGGGCAGCACTGGGTTGGGATGTTTTTTTGATGTGCACTTACCCTTTATATAAAGCTCTCTTATGCGTGCATTTCTGTGGATTTGTTTCTCTAAAGTACCCAGACTCACACATTATGGTACCTTGGGAGTGGGGTACTGGAGAAACAAATCATAAGATGGAGAGTAGATGTTTGTTTGACCTCTCCCCCATGGAAGTTTTTCTTTTGTCTAGCCAGAGGTTAGATAAAGCCACACTATTTACTCGGTTGTTTTTCTGGGAAAAATATGGGAAGCAGGAAAATAGAAAATTTGGAAGTCCACTTCCTTCAGCCATTAAAATTTTGATTTTTAGATGGGGTTAGGCCATGCCTGTTAAAAAGCTTTGAAAATATATGCCCCACCCAGTGCTTTGGAATACTCAGGAACCCATGTTCTTTGTCAGAAGCTGGAAAAAATCTGGAACCATGAAGAAAACTCCTCTCTGGGACTGAATGCTAAAGGGAGCCTGTGAGCAGGCTGAAATGCTTGCTAGGTGACCACCTGGATCTACTTGTTGAGTGGAAGTCAGAGAAATGCAGCAATAAAGAGATGGGTTGAGTTTGGCTGCTGACACCTGTGGACTTGGTTTACAGGGGAAAAAGGAGAAGATGAGAGTGGGTTGACTGGTCTAAAGTTCATGACCTAGCCTGAGGGGGCTGGGCTTGTTGAGTTGGTGAGAGCCCATGGCCTAAAGGCCAAGCCGACCAATGGGTATGCTGTGGAGGCTGAGTGGGGCAGCCCACATTGAGCTGACCAGAACCCGACCAGCTGGAGATTTTCGAGCCTGTGAACTGGTGCATATTGTTGCTGACTTCATGGATGGCCTGTCCGGATTTGACTTTGCTTATGGATGCAGACTTCACAAGGGTCCAACTGGAATGCAGACTCTTCGTGTTGAAAACTATGTCTTCTCAGAGAACTGGGTTGATGTAAGTGGGCAGCATATAAATTGGATACCCAAAATTGGGGGAGGTAAAGGCATGAAATGATTGGTTACAAACTTTTATAGGTGGGGGAAAACATTCACAGGATTATTGGGTTAAGGTGTAGGTGTTACTTAATTGCAATTGTGATGCTAAAGAATTATGTACAGGTGCCAGGTTTGTAAGGGGTGGATTGAGTTAGTTTATTTTGCCAACCTGGCCGATAAACACATGTGGGATTAATTGAAGGGCGGAGTATGGATAAATGGTTCGGTGAGCCTCGCCTTTCTAGTTCTCGGGTCTCTTGCTTTCTGATGGTCGCACCAGGGTGCAGCTGCCTTAGCCAGTTCACTGCTTCAGCTTGCAAGGCTGACTTCCTGCCAGATATCCCCAAGGAGAAGCCACATGGACCTACCCTGATGCAGCCCTGGGTGCCGGAGCAACCTTGTGGAGACTCCTGCCAGTGCTGAGATGCTTACACGTTCACTGACTCGGCTTTCCTCCTGCAGTCGGCGCAATTGTGTGTGTTTTATGAGATGGAGGAGGACTTTGTGGACTGGTGTTGGACATATGGGTTAATGTTAGACTTGTGGGCTTGGGCAGCACTGGTATGGGATGTTTTCTTGATGCGCACTTAACCTTTACATGAAACTCTTTCTTATATATGAGTTGCTGTGGATTTGTTTCTCTGAAGTACCCAGACTAATACAGTGGGTTTTAAGGATTGAGCTGTAACCCAAAGGTTGGTGGTTCAAACCCACCCGCCAACCCATAGGAGACAGATGAGGCAGACTGCTTCCATAAAGATGTGCAGCCTGGGAAACCCCCCTGGCCTTGTGATCCACTCGATTGTTAAGCAGCCGATTCCCTTGAACGTCTTTCTCTGGGTGTGTTGGCTATTTAGGTATCTTCTCTGGAGAAACGTTGTGCATTTTTAAAAATGGGTGGTTCGTCTTTCTGTTGGTGTGCGCTGAGTTGATCCTGGAGCCGCATGCCTGGGAAAGTCAGTGTTTACTAAAACCAGGCAAGAAATACTTGGTGTTTATGTGTGACACTCTTGGCTGGGAGCTCTGCCAGTAGGTTTTCCACCTGCCAATGCCCTGGTGGCATAATGGTTAGGCAGTGGGCTGCTAACTGCAAGGTCGACAGTTCGAAACTACCCCCAGCTCCTCGGGAGAGAGACGAGGCTGCCCTACAGTGTTGCGATGAGTCGGCTTCGACTTGATGGCACTAAGGTTTCTTTTTTTCTCCTTGGGCCATCAGTTCCTTCCTTCTAGGGGGTAGGGGAAGGGCCTGGAGGAGGGGGCTCTCTGGCCCTGCCCCAGGCCTCCCAGCAGGCCTGTCTTCCTGTGCTACAGCACTGCGGCCCCCTGCAGTCATGGGCCACGAACTAAACCCGAGGGGTCCCAGAGGCCACAGAGTCCAGCTCCTTGCCTCCCTGTCATGACCGGAAACTCACTGTCCACAGCACGGCCCAGGTCGCACATTCCAGCCTCCTCCATGCCCTCCCACCACCGCGGGGTTTCCCAGCACCCGCCTCCTCCCCACAGACAGCCTCTCTGGAACTGGGATTAGGAAAATGGTGAGCCGTCTGCCTTTCAGCACCCAACTGTAATCGTGGGCATGACTCTGCTCCCTGGACTTGGGAATGCTGTCTGAAGGCGGGTTCCCTGCAAGCAGGGCCTACGCCGGATACTTGTGTGAGTGGATGGTTGAGCAGGAGAGGTCGGGACCAGAAGCAGCCGAATGGATGTGCTTCAGGTGACCTTAAGCCTCTGCCTCCGGGGTGTGTCTCCTCCAGAGGCTGGACTGTGGGATGCCCCCTGGAGAGGTGGCACGCAGCTTCCCAGGCACCTCTAGGCAGGGTGCTTTCCACAGCCTTACAAAGAAGGATGTGGAGGGGCTTGTCTGCAGACGGGCATTGGAGTGGGGTTTGGACTCCTTGTTCCTGCCTTGTGGATTCTGAGCCTGGCGACCTCCTGTGTTTCGGGGTTGCACTGTGGCCAGGAGGGTTTGCAATGGCACATTGATAGTTGTAGATCTCAAGTCTTTGATCCGAGGCTCCTCTGGGCGGATTTGAACCTCCTACCTTTGGATTGTCAGTCAGGTGTGATAACCCTGCACTGCTCAGGGGCTCCCAGGTCCTGGCAGCCTGTGACGAGCCTGCGGGGAGGGGTCCCCATCACCTTGGAGACCTCCTCCTCAACTCAGCAGACGCCAGGCTGCTCCACAGTCAGGCCCTTCTCCCGGCCGCTTCCTCGCCACCCCCGAGGTGGAGGAGGGTGAGGAGGGGCTGGGATTTGGGGGGGGGGGTGGCAGGCTGGGAGCTTCCTGGGCAGGTCCCCCAGCCCCAGATGACCCGCTACCCCTCCCACCCACAGACTGCCTGTTCAAGGTGTGTCCCATGAACCGCTACTCGGCCCAGAAGCAGTACTGGAAGGCCAAGCAGGCCAAGCAGGACAAGGAGAAGATCTCAGATGTGGTGTTGCTGCAGAAGCTGCAGGTGTGTGTGTGTGTGTGTGTGTGTGTGTGCATGCGCGTGTGCGTCCGCACAGGTGGGGCCCCGGGCGCACACTCGGGGCCACCGAGAGGCATTTCCTACAGTGAGCCGCACCGGCCTGGGCTGGGCAGGGGTCTTGGGGGGCTTCGGGAGTCTGGGGCGAGAGGGGTGGTGAATCTCATGGAGGGTCAGGAGAAGACGGGCCTCCTCGCCCTCCAGAGTCAGTCTGGGAAACTCGGTGGGCACCGGCCTGTGCCGAGGATTGATAGCGGCCCCAGTGGTGTGGGAGGGTGTCAGTCCTGCCACCATAGAGTGGGAGGGGAGGGGAGGCCCCCGGGCTGCCCCTCTGGACCCTGGGTCCGGGGTTTCCTCAGCTGCATTGTTAGTAGCTGTGGAGTGTGGTAGCAGCCCAGGGGACCTCACCAGTGGAGCTAGGGCTGCTCTAGGAGGGGGGGGTTGTAAGAAGGGCCTGGTGGCGCAGAGGGTGAGCCGCTGGGCAGCTGAGAGTCCCTGAGGCCTGAAGAGGAGGCCCTTGGCTCCCATGAGGATGTGCAGCCTCCAGCACTCCAAGGGCAGTTCTGCTCTGTCCCTGGGCGTGCTGAGCTGGAATGGCTCCGGTGGCCGGGGTTCGGTCTGGGATTCTGAACCTCTCAGAAGGATTCCTGGTGGCACGGTGGTTACGTGCTTGGCGGCCGACCCCAAGGTGAAGGGTTTGGACCCACCAGCCACTCCTCAGGAGAGCGTTTTGACATCTGCTTCTGTAAAGCTGGTCCCAGAGGTCCCCAGGGTCACTGCGGCAGGGGGTGTGGCCTACCGCGCCCAGCCTGCCTTCAGGGCTCCTCGGCTGGGTTTGTGGCACCAGCCTTCCGGCTTGTGTGCGCCGCCAGGGATGCCTTCTCGTCAGTGGGCAGGCGAGCCGAACCGGGTAATCTCCTGAGGGCCCTCTGTGCAGTGCCACGGGCTGGGGTGGTGCTCCAAGGGGCTCGGGGTCTGGCACACGTGTGTGTGTGTGTGTGTGTGTGTGTGTGTGTGTGTGTGTACCGGGATGTGTGTCCTTGTGTGCGTGTGCGTGCATGTGTGTGCTGGGATGTGTGTGTGCTTGTGTGCGTGTGTGCTTGCGTGTGCCTATGCCGGTGTCCGCGGGCACGCGTGGTGGGAGGGTCTCCTGAGCCCCCGTCGCCCGTGTACAGCACGCCGCCCAGATGGAGCAGAAGCAGAATGACACGGAGAACAGGAAGGTGCACGGGGACGTCGTCAAGTATGGCAGCGTGATCCAGGTGCGACACGGCCGGGCGGGCCCAGCCAGGGGCAGGGGTGTCCACACGGGCGGCCTTCGTGACTGCATGGTGTCCCTGGCTGTGAACAGCGCCTGGGTTCGACCCAGTGCTGGAGAGCTCCGGTTCTGGAGCCACTTGGCCTGGGTTTGCACCTTGGCTCCTGAGGGTCCAAGGAGGTCCTCCCTAGTGGTCCTCCCTTAAGGGCTGGCATCCAGGGCCCCCCAGACCTCAGCCCCCCCCGCCCACCCCCCCAGCTCCTGCACATGAAGAGCAACAAGTACCTGACTGTCAACAAGCGGCTGCCGGCCCTCCTGGAGAAGAACGCCATGCGGGTGACGCTGGATGCCACGGGCAACGAGGGCTCCTGGCTCTTCATCCAGCCCTTCTGGAAGCTTCGGAGCAACGGGGACAATGTGAGGGCGGGCCAGCCGGAGGAGCCACGGCCTGGCAGTGTGGGCTCAGTGTGGGCATGGCCTCTGACCCCTCACCTGTCCCCCCTTAGGTGGTTGTAGGGGACAAGGTGATTCTGAACCCCGTCAACGCCGGGCAGCCTCTGCACGCCAGCAATTACGAGCTCACTGATAATGCCGGCTGCAAGGAGGTGAGCAGGCCCCTGGGGAGCAGCGTCCCCCCCAGGGGGCAGCGACCCCCTCCACCCTCCAGCTCTGCCCTCAGCCCCCTCTGACCTCCCTGACCTGGGCCCTCCGGCTCCTGCCTGCAGGCTGATAGCTCCCCCTCCTTCCTGTCGGGGAGCCGCTCAGATGGGGCCTGGGCTGGTCCCTGCCCATCCAAGGGTCGGCCTGGTCTCAGGGGTTCCTCTGCCCTTCCCCAGGTCAACTCGGTGAACTGCAACACCAGCTGGAAGATCAACCTGTTCATGCAGTTCCGGGACCACCTGGAGGAGGTGCTGAAAGGGGTAAGGTCAGGACCGCCAACCTGGCTGCCACCCAGCCCCTCGCTCACAGGCTCCTTTTTCCGCCCTCCCGTCTGGACTCCCTGTCTGACCCCCCCCCCCAGATGAACCCCCCCACCTCCTCTGCCTTTGTGTTTCCCTGCTCTCCGGTCTCACAGGGCCCATGGCCCCTCGCACCTGGCTGGCCCCTGTGCTCTCCCCCTCTCGCTCTGAAAGTGTACCCCCATTCTCCCCCTAGGAAACCTGGTGGCGTCACGGCTACTAGTTGGGCTGCTGACCTCGCAGTCAGCAGTTCAAACCTAGCAGCTGATCGGCGGGAGAAAGATGAGGCTTTCCACTCCCGTCAGTAGCGAAGCCATGCAAACCCACAGGGGCAGTTCTGTCCCAGCTGGTGGAGCAGGCAGGAGTCGGCATGCACTCCGTGCCAGTGAGCTTGGCTTTTAGGATTCTCTACTTTTTAAAAATAAAATCGGATTCTCCACTTTGAGTGGGCCCAGACCCAAGCTGTCTGCCCCTCCTCCAGTCCCCCCCCTATACACTCTGCCCTGGGTTCCCGTTCTTTTTTTTTGGGGGGGGGGCGCAGGTCAGAAGGTAGGCATCTGGGAGGGCGGCCGAGAGGAACCCTAAAAAACAGCCTTGTGGAGAGGGAGGCGTGCCCCAGACTCTTAGCAGGGCTGCAGGGCAGGGCGGCCTGTGGGGGTGCCCTGCCCGTGGCCTTGTGGGAGGGCAGGTAGGAAAGGGGCAAGGGGGCGGGGCCGTCTGTTGGAGGAACACAACGCAGGTGAGAGCAATGTCTCCCCCGGCTTCCTCCCTCAGCCAGGCTGTGGCTCCATCGTCCCTCTGTCACCTGCCCAGCCTCACCTCCGACCTCATACACACCACCACCACCCCCAGTTTCTTGCCCTCCCTGCGCTGCCCCAATGCTTTCTCCTCCCTCCGTCCCTGAAAGCCTGTGAATCATACAATAGTCAGCCGGTTCTCGGCCCACAGGCCCCTCCTCTCAGAAGCCCCTCCAGGCTCTGGCTGTGGGTGGCAAGCAGAAGACGCCAGGTCACTGAGGCCAAATCCTGTGCCTGGGTCACGGCGCCTCAGTTAGCTTGCCGACAATCGGGAGCAAGCCCTGCAGGGACAAAGCCCACCCCTTCCTTTCTCCCAGCCTGCTCCGCCTGGGTGTAGGGGTCACAGGACCGTGCCTGGCAAACAGACCCCATCTGGGGACCTCCCCCTTCCCGTGTGCATCGGATCCACAGCACACCCGCTCTGTCCCGCACTGTTTGGCCGACTGGGAAGACATGATGGGCTTCCCAGTGGCAGTGGCTGCCGTGTCTTTCGAGCCCCCTGGGCAGGCTTGCTGTGAAGGGGAGTGTGATGGAGAGATTGGGTTGTGGGCTCTGGTACCTTCCCTCCCTCACCCCTTACCCCCGCCCCCACCCCAGATGAGGAGACTGATGGAGCTACCCTGAGGGGCTACCGTAGGGGCTGCCCCCTGGCAGCAAGCACAGTGGTTGATCACCCTGTAATAGTTCAGAGTGCACACCACCCACCCCACATCACGGAGCCCTGGTGGTGCAGTGGATACGCGTCGGACGGCGATCTGCAAGGTCCGAGGTTCCAAACCACCAGCTGGTCTGTGGGAGAAAGACGGGGCTCTCTGCTCCCATAAAGAGTGGCACTCTCGGACACCCACAGGGCAGTGCTACCCTGCCCGACAGCGTCGTCAGGGCTATGAGTCGGCATGGACCCCACGCAGGGGGCGTAGGTTTGGTTTTTACACATAGCCTCACAGTCGCACACCGTTCGCACCGTAGGCCAGAGCATTCCGATTCCAGACATCTCTGAGGCTCAGAGATGGCAAGGGACTTGTCCCGGGCCACACAGCTCAGAAGCGCAGGTCAGGCTTCAAGCCGTGGCTCCGCCCTCCAGCTGCTGCATTCTGGCAGGGCCCCTGATACTCTGGGCAGGAAGGGCCCTCGGAGAGGGGCAGCGTGGACCCAGGAGGTCTGAGAAATGGGAGAGTCCTCCTGCCTTGATGGGGAGACAGACTGGAGATGGACCTTCGGGGCTTCCAGACGGGGGAGGAGGGGGTCAGAGTGGGTCTGAACAGGAGAACCCAGGGAGCGCTTTGGGCCTGAGGCCTGCCCACTGTCTTGAAGATCGGGGTCTGGGGACTGGGATGAGGGCTGTGGGCTCGCTCCCCTTGAGGCGCTGGCCCCTGCTGGCTGCCCTCTGGCGAGCCCGGCTCCAGGCTCTGCTGGCCGTCTGAGGCAGGTGGGCCCTTGAGCTCACACCCAGCCCATGGCCCTGTGCCTGCAGGGAGACGTAGTGCGGCTATTCCACGCGGAGCAGGAGAAGTTCCTGACGTGTGACGAGTATAAGAGCAAGCTGCAGGTGTTTCTGCGGACCACACTGCGCCAGTCTGCCACCTCGGCCACCAGCTCCAACGCCCTCTGGGAGGTGGAGGTGAGCCCAGCCCTCCGGCCACACTGCCTTCCTGCCTTCTCTCCGGCCCCAGCTGGGCCGCTCCCTTCTCCCCAAGGGGCCAGGGAGAGAGCTCCAGTCTCCTGAGCCCCCCTGCAGGGCCAGCCTCGCCTTTCTGCCTCACCCCTGATCCCCCTTCTCCAGGTGGTCCACCATGACCCCTGCCGGGGAGGAGCTGGCCACTGGAACGGCCTCTACCGTTTCAAGCACCTGGCCACCGGCAACTACCTGGCTGCCGAGGTGAGTTGGGGGGTGGGGTGAGGGAAGGAAGGGCAGAGGGCATCCTGCATGCAGGCTGGGTGCACAGGGTCCGGCTGTACATGCACACGTCTGCACACAGGCATATGTGCCCCATGCGGACGTTGGCTTCCTCGTACGCGTACATGTAGCTAGCAGCCATCATCAAGTAAGGGCAGGACCGTCAGCATGGCTAATCACTGTGACTGCGCCTACTGTGTGCCAGGGGCTGCTCTGAGGGCCACGATATGGCAGTGAACAAAATTCCCAGTCCTTGTGGGGCTACATTATGCATTCACGTCTGTTTATTTATGTGTGCACAGCTTTGTGTGTGTGTGTGTGTGTGTATGTGTGTATGTCTTGGCGCACCTAGGAGAGGGCTTCAAAATGTTCCTGGGAAAAATTCCGTTGCCTTTGAATTCCACGTCTCGTGAGTTTTGGAGAAAAGACGGCCTCCTCATGAGCCGGGTGAAGGCTTTCAGGGCCGACCATCATTTTCCCATGGTCTCCCATCACCAGTTGCAGCCCCTGAACTGTCGTGGGACGTGTTCGGCCCCTGCCGGTCTGTTTCCATCGGCCCCTCTTCTCTGACCTTTCTGAGCTTTGACCTTGAGTCAGTCTGCCCCTTGGAGCCCCCAGGGAAGCCCCTGGTGTGTGTGTATGTGAGTGTGTGCGTGCGCTTCGGGGTGCATGTTTACTTGGGGGACTGCAGGGAATGGTCAGGAAGGGCAAGGCTGGGTTCCCGCAAGAGTGACATGGGCTCTGGGGGCGGATGGTGCCCGGCCCTGCCCAGGGCCCTATGTGTGCCTTGTTTGGGGTGGGGCTGTGCCCACTAACTCCTCATCTCCTCCTGTCTAGGAGAACCCCGGCTACAAGGGTGACGTCTCAGATGCCAAGGCGGCAGGCGCGGTGAGGGCTGATGCAGGGCTAAGGGTCTGGGAAGAGGGACCCAGAGCCCACCTTGGCGGGTGGGCAGGGCCAGGACCAGGGAAGCCATGAAATCTTGAGAAGTGGGCTGGAGGGATCCCAGCTGGATGCCAGGGGGCAGGGGGTGGGGTCTGGGGTGCCTCTGGCTGAGTTCAGGCGCTCCCCTCAGGGTGCCCAGGGCCGGGCCGGCCGCAGGAATGCCGGGGAGAAGATCAAGTATCGCCTGGTGGCCGTGCCCCACGGGAACGACATCGCCTCCCTCTTTGAGCTGGACCCCACCACGCTGCAGAAAACCGACTCCTTTGTGCCCCGGTGGGTGTTCGCCTGGCCGGGGGGCTGGGGGCAGGGCGGCTGGCCACCGTGCCCAGGCCGGCCACTCTGAGGTCTGTGGCCCTGGGGGTCCGAGCACAGGCCCCCTCAGGGTTCCGGCTCTGTGGCCGCACACTTACTGCGCAGTGGGTTTGGTGCTCAGGTGGGCCTTGGACTTGTCGTATAAGTGCCTTCTCCCGAGGCCACGGGTCTTCACGGGCAGGCAGGCAGCCTTGCAGAAGGTTCAAACGTTAGACTCCGTGACCCCGAAGGTCTGGGCCAGCCCACCCTGAGAGTCTAGAAACTGACCACAAGCATTTCCCCCAGTCTGACCTCGAGCGAGGAGCCCTGGTGGCATAGTGGGTGTGTATTGGGCTGCTCACAGCAAGGCCGGCAGTTCAAAGCCACCAGCCGCTCCTCGGGAGAAAGACGAGGCTTTCTGCGCCCGGCCCCCATCGATCGGATCGCTTTGAGCCAGATGGACTCATGCTTGAAGTGGCATTAGCCAGTGTGCCCTCTGCTGGAAGCTGGGCGAATTGAGTCAGTATAGACGCACAGTCTGTTCCCCGGGGCCAGGGGCAGTTTGGAACTCAGAGTGTTTTCCATTGTCGAAAGGTCATGATAATCTCATCAACAGTGTGAGCGTCTCTGCTGTGAAATGCACTTGACACTAATGGGATAAATGGTCTAAAGAGGCTCGTTTGTCCAAACGAGTTTTGGTCCGAGCTTACAGAGGAGCGCAGTGGCTGCTGGCAGTGTGGTTCGCCCGGGCCTGTGTCAGGGAGTGGTGAGGACAGGCCCTGGGCGGCGCGGGTGTGTGGGCCCCGAGCCCTCCGCCTCTGTTGAGACGGGAGTGGGGTGCGCCCTGGCCCGCCCGCAGGAACTCCTACGTCCGGCTGCGGCACCTCTGCACCAACACGTGGGTCCACAGCACCAGCGTGCCTATCGACGTGGACGAGGAGCGGCCCATCCGGCTCATGGTGCGCTGCCGGGCACCCTGGGGGGGGAGGGGTGGCCCAGGGTGCCCGGGCTGCCCGGCTGACCGCTGTCCCTGCAGCTGGGCACCTGCCCCACCAAGGAGGACAAGGAGGCCTTTGCCATTGTGTCCGTGCCCGTGTCTGAGATCCGAGACCTGGACTTCGCCAACGACGCCAGCTCCATGCTGGCCAGCACCGTGGAGAAGCTCAATGAGGGGTTCATCAGCCAGAACGACCGCAGGTGGACTCCAGGGGCCGGTCGAGGGAGCGGAGGGGTCCCCCGGAGAAAGTGGGGAGGCCGGCCTGGCGTGGGGGGGTCCTGGGCCCCTGCAGCTGAGGCCTGCCTTCCTGTCCCCCAGAACTGACCCCATGCAGGATCCCTTCGAACCCAACCCAACTGCCCTGGACTCGCTGCCAACTCACAGCGTGTCTGTAGGAGAGGGTAGAACTGCCCTGTGAGCTCCCCAGGCTGGGGCTCTTGGAGCGTAGAGGACCCCGCCTTCCTCCTGGGCAGCTGCTGCTGGTCTCGAGCCGCCAGCTTGGCGGTTCTCAGCCCAGCGCGTAACCACGGTGCCACCAGGGCGCCGGCATGAGTCTCCTCTTCCTGAGGACAGGGTCTAGGCGCGGTGCGGTCAGAGACCTGCCCAGAGTTACAGGACCCGTCTGGAGCGGAGTCGGGATGGAAATGCAGATCCCTTCCCACCGAGCACCTGCCTGTCCGGCTCCTCCCAGACTGGACGGCTCCAGACGGGAGCAGCTGAGCGTCTGCCTGGGCACTTTGGGATCGGGGTGGGGGGTGGATGTGTTTTGAGACAAACGGACTCATTGCCATCGGTCATACTCCTCGTGAGTTCCTAAGACGGTCACTCTCTCCAGGAGTAGAAAGTCTCCTCTTTTGGCCTCGGAGCGGCTGCTGGTTTTGAACTGCGGACTTTGCAGTTAGCAGCCTGACTCGTAGCCAACCCCCACCCACCCCCAGGGCCCCTATTTAGAGAGCAGGGCGGGGTAAAGCGACCGGCCTGACGACGGGGCAGTGAGTGTCTTCATGAAAACTGAGCCTGGAGAAGGGCCGGTTGCCCAGGGAGTCGCGTGGGGAGGAGGTTCCCAGACGCACCATCGCTGTGTCTCCTGCCCAGGTTTGTCATCCAGCTGCTGGAGGACCTGGTCTTCTTTGTCAGCGACGTCCCCAACAATGGGCAGAACGTCCTGGACATCATGGTCACCAAGCCCAACCGGGAGCGGCAGAAGCTGATGAGGGAGCAGAACATCCTTAAGCAGGTGTCCGTGTGGTGTCCGCGTGCGTCCCTGCAGGGCAGGTCCCGGGAAGGAAGGGCCCTGGGAGACACGAAGGGGCCTTGCCCGTCTCCAGTGGAGCTGCAGTCTCTGGTTGTCGCAACGCCTCTTTACAACAACGCGGCCTTATTGAGCCCGTCGTGCCCTGTGCCCCGGAGCCCGGGTGGCGCAGCAAGTGAAGAGTGGGGCTGTTCAATACAAGGTTGACGCTTCAAACCCGCCGACTGCTCCATGGGAGAAAGACGAGGCTGTTGGCTCCTGTAGAGATCTCAGACCTCGGGACCCTTTGGAGCAGCCCAGCCCTGTCTGGGGGTTGCTTTGAGTCACCATCGATGGCAGTGGTTTGGGTTTGTCGCCTTACCACGCACATGCCAGGCACCGTCCCAGGGCCTCACACACAGCCCCAGGTGGCTCTTCCTGTCCCCGTTTTACCTGTGAGCCCAGGGAGGCTCCGAGAGGCTGGAATACCCCGATTCAGATCACACAGGAAGGAGCAGGGCTGGATTGGCACTCTGGGTGCCCTGGTCCAGAGCTTGTGACAAAATTTTAAGCTGTTTTCCTCCCCCAGTTTTTATTAGGAAAACTTGTGTTGATTAAGTCTTGAAAGGCGAGTACGGCAAACTTCCCTATCTGCCACCTGATGTTCCCTTCCTCACCACTGGTCTGTTTGGCTTTCATGTAACTGCTCTGTCGCGGAGATTCAAAATAGATTATGGAAGCCACTCAGCCCAAATTGTTCAGCGTGCCTCTAAGAAATAAAGACATTGTCCTATATAACCACAGTACCACAATCACACCTCCAAACATTAGCAGTCATTCCCAGTCCATATTAAATGCCCCTAACGTCCCCCAAAATGTCGTTTTAAAGCAGGTTTTATTTTGAGTCAAGAATCCAACCGGCGTTTCTCCTTCCCCTCCGTGGCTCGGTCTCTGGGGTCTCTGTTCCAGACAGTCCCTCACCCCCACTCGCCCCCTGCCTTTGAAACTCTGTGAAATTATACTGTTTTCTTTGACAAGACCAGGCCTGTGTCCTGTATCCGGTCCTTCACCCTCTTGGCCTCCCATTTCTAAGCCTCCGACCCTGACCTGTTGTGACCCCTGCTCTTCCCTCATCACTGAGCAAGGCCCAAGATGGGAGCAGCGTTCCGTTGGGGAGGAATGGGCTGGCCTGGGCAGCCCAGGGGGCAGGGCCAGAGTCAGGGTCAAGGGTAGGGGAGCTGGGGTGGTTGGTTAGGCATGAGCTCGGGTTAATGTCATAGGGGCAGGGCCAACCTTCGCCCTCCTGGGATAATTTGGGGGTGCGGCAGCTGGGCGGGACCCCTGCTCATTCTCCTTGCTCCCTCAGATCTTTGGCATTCTGAAGGCTCCCTTCCGAGACAAAGGGGGCGAGGGCCCCCTGGTGCGCCTGGAGGAACTGTCGGACCAGAAGAACGCCCCCTACCAGCACATGTTCCGGCTCTGCTACCGCGTGCTGCGGCACTCGCAGGAAGACTACCGCAAGAACCAGGTGCACTGCCCGCCCGCCTGCCGTGCTGGCCCAGCCCTCACAGGCCTGGCGCTGTCAGCCCACCCACTCCCTCACTCCCTCCTGCCCCCCTTCATCCATCCGTTCACCGTCTGTCCGTCCAGCCAGGTGGCTACTGTGACAGGACAGCATCAGGCACTGGGGCGTGCGGTGAGGGCGGGCGGTCATGTCAGCTCGCGTGCTCAGAGGGATCCACTTGCCTTCGGCTTAACTGTGCCGGCGCCATTTGAAGTTGTGAACAGTTTGCAAACTTGGGCCCTGCTCTTTCATTGGGCCCTGTGCCCCGCAATTTAGGCAGCCGGGCCTGCCTGCCACACAGGCCGCGTCCTTACGCCTGTGGAGGCTCCGCTCCTTTGGGGGAGACAGGCCAGGAGCTAAGTCACTGTACTGGGGTGGCTGGCTTTCCCCGCTGGACCTCCCTGCCCAGGGCCTGGGCTGGGAGCGATGGGGTGTCCTGGAGTAGAGCTGGGTCCTCGGGGCCCAGGCCGCGGCTCCTCCGCGTGACCCTGGCCCATCTGCCACAGGAGCACATCGCCAAGCAGTTTGGGATGATGCAGTCCCAAATCGGCTACGACATCCTGGCCGAGGACACCATCACAGCTCTGCTGCACAACAACCGCAAGCTCTTGGAGAAGCACATCACCAAGACGGAGGTGGAGACCTTCGTCAGCCTCGTGCGCAAGAACCGCGAGCCCAGGTGGGCCCGCTCTTCCCCTCCCGCCCCGTTACAATGCCAACGTAGTCCTAACTGCTGCCTCCTTGGCACCCGGGCTCCCCGAGCCCCTCCCTGGGACCCCTTCCAAGCATAGCTCAATCCAGCAACGAGAGAAGTGAACCTGAGACCCCAGGGAACAGCCCCGCGACCCCCCTGCCCTCCAAAGATCCTTCCCAATGCCCAAGTCAGGGCCTGCAGGGAATCCGTTGTTGACTATTCTGAACATCCTCGCTGTCCCCACATGACCTCGGGCGCCCCTTCTAATACTCCCCTCTCCCCAGACTGAGGGCCCGTCCTGGGGGAGAGACAAGAGCAGTCTGTGGATTCCAGGGAGGGCAGTTCCGTCAGCTAGGGGAAGGAGGGGAGGCTTCGTTCCCACCACGGTCAGACCCTGAGCCCCCCGCCCGGCCCCTGCTTCCACCATGCCAGGTTCCTGGACTACCTCTCCGACCTGTGTGTGTCCAACCACATCGCCATCCCGGTCACCCAGGAGCTCATCTGCAAGTGTGTGCTGGACCCCAAGAACAGCGACATTCTCATCCAGACGGAGTGAGCCACAGCTCCGCCCGCCGCCCCCGGCCGCCCGACTGCTTGGGCCTCGTCTGGGGGGCTGGGGGGGACAGGCTAGCACTGGCGCTCTTGTCCTCTGCACACAGGCCCCCCCGCGCCTGCCGTGTGCTCGCTCTGCCTGGCACTGTGGATAGGCAGGGGGCCCGGAGGAGGAGGAGGAAGTCAGGGGCCTTGGGAAGGTCGGGATCTCCGTGGGGTCCCAGATGGCTGGGGCACCCTGCGGTGGGCAGCACAGCAGCCTGAGCTGGCTCTTGGCTGCTTCGAGGGGCTGGACCTTGGGGCTGAGCTTGCTGGGGAGGGGCCTGGGAGAGGTCCTGGCTCCGGGTGACGGGTGCTGGTCCCCAGGCTTCGGCCCGTGAAGGAGATGGCGCAGTCCCACGAGTACCTGAGCATCGAGTACTCAGAGGAGGAAGTGTGGCTCACGTGGACCGACAGGAACAACGAGCACCACGAGAAGAGTGTCCGGCAGCTGGCCCAGGAGGCGCGGGCAGGCAACGCCCATGACGAGAATGTGCTCAGCTACTACAGGTGCCCGCCTGCTGGCCGCCCCTCCTCTGCCTTCCGTGCTTCCAAGTGCTTCCTGCTGTGGTCTGGGGACCCCGGCGCCTGCATCCCGGGAAGGAAAAGTGCAGGATGACCGTGTAGCTGGAATCTCCCGGAGTGGCCTTGGGGCCAGGCTTAGCACAGTGGCCGGGTTTAGAGGTTGCCCAAGCCTGTCTCCAAATAGATAAGTCATTAAAAATAATATTGGATAACACTAAATTCCTACTATATACCAGGCACTGCTCTGAGCGCTTCGTCTGATCCTTCATGTCAGCCTCATAATAAGTAAGTAGGAGCCCTGGCGGCATAGTGGGTTATGACCTCAAGGTCAGCCGTTCAAATCCATCCACCGCTCCTGGCAAGAGGATGAGGCTTTCTGCTGCTGTAACGGTTCACAGCTTCAGAAACCCACAAGGGCAGTTCTCTGTCCCGTGGGGCTGTTAGGAGTCGGAATCAGCTAGATGGTGGTGGGATAGCTTGTCAGTACCCTTAAGGAGCCCGGTGACGAGTTGGGTTGTTCATGGAAAGATTGGTGGTCCAAGCCCATCAGCAGCTCTGAGAAGGAGGGGCGGTCTGCGTCTACAAAGACTCACTGCTTTGAGACTCTTTAGGGGCAGCTCTGTTCTGTTCAGCAGGGTCAGTAGGAGCCGGATTGACCTGATGGCCCTGGGTCTCAGGACCTTGTAGAGTTGGGGAATCTGAGGCACAGAGACAAAGGACCTGGATCCAGGCAGTCCAGCCGGAAGTGGAGGGCCTGTGAGGTGCACCAGGGTGCTGCCTCCAGAGCCTGTGGTACAGGATCTGCCGCAGAGCCACGGAGGCTATTGTACCGCATGACAGGGCGAAGCTCCCTGCATCCCTGTCCACATCTATCCCGCCAGAATCTCACACCTTGGCAGCTGCTCCTTGGCCCCTGCTCTCCCAGACTGGCCTTCATCCTCCCTGCCCCAGGCCTGCCCTGCCCGCTTCCCCCTGCACTCCCTCAGCCCTTCTTTCCACCCACTCTAGTCCCTCCAACATCCCTCTTCCCAGTCCGCTCCGCTCAGAGCTGCCCGGTTGGGCTGTGTGTCTTTCCTCCCCAGCCACAAGCCCAAAGCCAAACCCCACACCCCCACTGTTGAGTCGGATCCCAATACAGAGGGCTGTATGCGTCTTTACAGAGTCGGATCCCGATACAGAGGGCTGTATGCGTCTTTATACAGTCGGATCCGATACAGAGGGCTGTATCCGTCTTTACAGAGTCGGATCCGATACAGAGGGCTGTATCCGTCTTTACAGAGTCGGATCCGATACAGAGGGCTGTATCCATCTTTACAGAGTCGGAT